CTAGTAAAAATCCAGAAATATCCAGATTTGTCAATGTTGCCTCACTCTAGATCGGCTGATTTTTTTCGCGCTTCGGAGGGGCATTTTGCAAGTGCTGGTTCCTTTTGTTAGTTCGTGTCAAGCGACAGGTTAGACTTCGGCTAGACCTGTAAACTCCTGTAAAGCTGCGAAACGGTAAAAATGAGCCACTTCGATTACGGGAGTTTACAGGTGCTGGTACAGGCTTTGTTGGGTATCCTTTGGTGCCCCAGCAAGCAGAACTGCATCAATTTTTTCACTGGAAATTTATTTATTTTGTGATGTTATTTTTTTGTCCGGGTCTAGTTTCCTACGTGGCCGAAAAATGTCTACGCTTGTGGACGAGAATATCATCATATCCCATAAACCTTCGAAAGAGACCAAGTCGTTTCTCACTTTCTCATGATAAACTGCTAGCCATTCCAAGGAGTCGAGATTATCGGATAGCGGTTTGAATCAAGATCGTGAAAAGGGAAATATCGATGCCGGAAGCGGATAGAAAACGGAGAGAGAAATCACAAGCGTCGAGCGATTGGTCATAATAGATCCCCTCGACGACACCCCCACGAGAACGGGATTGAGATGTCGCGACAGGCGGGAGCAGAACAGGTCTTCGCCCTTCAGACGGCCCCAGCCATATCTTGTCCCAACCACGCACTACTCTCAAGCAATCTCGGAACAAGTCTTTCAGCTTATGTATTTTCGCAGATTTACCGATCCTCATGGCCGTACATTCCTTTCATTTTCATTTCATTCAGCTTTCTAGCCACAAATTATATCGTCACGTATAGCGCTAGTAATTGCCAAAATTCTCATTCAAAGCTACTGAACAACCCCATAATGGGCTATTCGGCGCTATCAAGGACATCGTGACCGGTTCATCCCACGAAGAGGTCCTTTTCCTGCCCTCATTCTTCTTCTCTGCCTTTATTTCCATTAAAATTCAACCACGTTTCGTATCGTTAAGTCCTTCCGCCTTCAAAATTGTCAGTACCTCATATTCTGAGTTATACCGTATGCTCCATGAGCTAGCAAAATCTTCGGACCGTAATAGCCGTATGAAGCCTATACATACAACTGTAGTAGCTGAGGCAATCATCCTACTTGACGACCTCATAATACCTCCTTCAGAACCAGCTTTCTCTAGCACCGATCCTCAAACTAGCCTCAGTTCTTCGTCTCGTGAATGATTGCTAAAGCAGAGTTCCGGACGCAAATCGGATTGATGGGGGCATTTTGTTGTCCTATCGATCACTGCCGATGCCTCCTGTTGAGACCTGTATATCCCTGTGAAGCTATGCATCAGCTGCAGGATTTGTTTAAGTTGACAAGGGTTTACGGGTCTCACCAAGGTAAGACGTGTAATACAACAGGAATCAGCAAACTAGCAAAACTGCAAAATGCACATGAAGCAAAACGCCCCCCCCCCCCTGAGCCGAATAGCGCAAAGTTTGACGTTGTTATAGACTTGCAAACTTCGTCTCTGCAAAGATGCCACAAAAAGGTCACCATTCGAAGTATGTACTTGGTAGGGATACCTTGCTCGCTTCACTAGTACTTCATATTTGGCTATTCCTTTGAATAATCACGTTAGTTCTGCTGGCAGACCTTCTACAAGTAGCTAACAGAAACTGCTGGCTACTGTATGTTTTCCAAGAATTACACATCCGCCCGGAGCATCTGGCCAGAGATCGATTCAAAACCAGCTAAACACGCCCCCCCCCCCAGCAAACCGTGGCAATTCAAACGCTATACTAGGGTGAGAGGCGCGGCGTATAGGTAGCGCTGCCATGCTTGCTGGCCTTTTCAAAGGGTGGCAATTAGTACCGGAATCGGCTGGGTAAAAAAAATCGGCTGGGTTACCGTGTGTACGGTCGGGTTATTGCTGACTCCCCTAGGGAGTTATTGCTGACCCTCCCCCCCCCCTCAAGCAAACCAAGCTTATTGGAGGATGGATCAGTTGCTGACAGACTAGTTTGGGCAAAAAAAATTGACCGGGTGTTTCGCGAGGTCAACAGCCATTACAGTTTCCGACGAGCCCAGGCGTGGCGCATCCTGAAGCGGGATTTTAACTTTTGAGTAAGCACTCGAATGGTAGAACGAGATTCCAACACTGATCAATGCCCTTGGAACGCCCACACCCAGGCTCATGCACCTGACCTCCCAGACCGTGGTCAGTATAGCAAATCAAAGTCCAGTTCTGAACTTCCAGAACAAACTTCCGCCATTTAACGCTCTTGCATTAACCTGCTTTTTCTGTTTTTGTGAAACAGAAGCAGACGAACTCGTTCACAATTGGAGACACAATAAATACCTGATACGAACCGGCTGCATGGATATATGAGTAATGTGCAACCGTACCTACCGTAGCGGATATTGGCAAGATGCCCACGGGAAACTCGTCCGAATTTGCTTTTCGAGTCAGTAAGAATGAAGGCTTTCTTCGCAAGCTTTCGACCGTTTCACTACGTTTTTTCGCCATTTTATCACTATATAGCACGCCGCTAGCATTTTAGATCGAGTATCAAATTATCGTGCCATATGCCTTTAAGAACGATTTCCCCTGCCATATTCTTAACTCGATATCACAATAATAGTGGTATATGTAGGCCATAGGTCGGCCTGTATACATATGCGCTACCGATAGAAGGCTCCAGAACACTTTTCAAAAATGTAGCAAAATGCCAAACTGAGTAACGGGATTTTTTTTGTACAAACTAAAACAACAGCCAAATATCTGAACGCCGAAGTCAATCAATGTTGCCCTGTGGGATAAATAAGCAATGGGATAAGAGATTTATTCATTTCCAGCAGGATTTGCTCCACAATTATGCAGCGATGGCGGGGTCTGCATGCTATTCCCTCAAAAAAAAGTTTTTGGTGTCGATTGAATCTTTTTGGGATGCGCTACGCATTCTGCCTCCGCGCAGATCGGTTGCTGCATTTCGAAAGCCAGTTGGCCCTTACAATGATTTGCGGGCGGGGGGAGGGGGCGGCGAGGTGCAAATCAGTGTCTTCTAGGGAGGGCACGTCCTGCCGTTGCGGCAAGTTTTCGGAAAATACGACCCCCTTAAGCATTTTACCTGCCATTTTCCATTTTCCCCAACAACGGTTTCCCTCCCCTTCCCAACAGCAAGCAAATACGACTTATAGCGTCCGTGAAACAAGAAAATCAACTATCAGAAAAAATCTTCTTAGACTAAATTAGACCCCCCCCGCTCGCTGGGGTTTCCCCAGCGTACGACGTGGTCTGCTTCTATGTTGCCTAGGAAGACTTGCTCTAACCAACCAATCCCTGAGCTATGGAAGGCTTCTTTAGCCACGACGGGAGCCCATCTACGGTTTCCTGCACTGGCAGCATGGTAAGCAGCGCCTCCTGCCACTACATCATTTCTGCTTGTGAAGAATCGATTGTGACTGAACATATTCATTTGTCACATTTGTTTTTCGGTTTGCTAAAGTCCACTTGACCCCTCGAACGTTCGAACTTGAAGAGATAGCAGAGCATCTGGGCGGAACTTTCTGTTATCGCTCAGATCTCACTAGCGGTTCCAAATGGTCCAAATGTAACATCATTACATGCAGTCTGAGATGGTCAAGCGATCGTTCCCTAGCCCGACACGATCTAATCTCATAACAAGCAGATGTCTAGATCCCTTGATTCATATCTTGCTTTTCTATGGCTTCCTCTTCATATATTTCTATGGCTTCCTCTTCATACATTCTCGTACCAGTCGCTGCATTTTTCCGAGTTCCATCCATTACAAGCCCTCATCCCTCAGCTTTTCCAGGGTATGAGGACGTTATGGGTTTTGGCGGCCGTATTGATAGGATCATCGATTGCCGATTTACCATCATGTGAACGAGCACAATGTAACCATTGTGATGTGAAATTCATAGCTAAAATGTGCCAAAAAACCTGTGACGCTTGTCCGCAAGCGATTGCGGATATTAATGCGGTAGGGATTTCCTTCAGTACTATTCCTACCAAAAACATTCTAAATCACTCTTTCCAGAGAATTCGACTGAAGAACTTCTACCAAGAGAGTAACCGGTTACCACCTACAAACTACCAGCCGATAGAAGTGAAACCTCAGAAACCACTCAAGAAGGCTCCTCCTTCTCGGGTAGCTGGTGTACCAACACAACAGGTTTGGTAGCTTTAAAAGATTTTTGCGATGTAGCATAGGTTCACGGTTCACTACTTAATCTGTTAAGGAGACCCTGTTAAGATGACGCAGAGCACATTAATGGTTGGGGATTTTGGTCGAGTCCGTACGACGCCCCCTTTTTTCGGGGGTTGCTTCGACCCCCCCCCTCCGGCCCCCTCTGAGAGAGGGGGGAGGTAGATAGCACATGGCACATGTGAAACGGGAAAAGCCTCGAGAAAAGTACAACCCCTTCTACCAACTCTCGCATTTTCCCCAACCTCCTGCCACTTTTCCGAAATTTCC